ATGAATAGGAAGTTCAAAAGACTTTTGTAACATTATAAATGTCTTTACTGTCACTTTCGATCAAATTAATTATTCCTTGATAAATAAAAGTATTGTTTTCTTTCCTCCAAAAAATTAAAATAAAATTCTCACTGACCCCAAACTTTTGAACGGTAGTGTATATATATTGTCCTTGCATTCTTTCTTGTGTGACACCCCTGATTGAAAGGCTCATTAGTATGCAGACTGCTCAGGTGAGAACTGCCTAATTATTCATGAGGGGGTTGGGCCGTTCCGCCCATCCGCATATTGCCTTTGCAAACAAAAAAATGTTTTTCACAATTTAAAAAAATCTATTGTTTTATGTGAATGATAAGGCAGAATGATTTTCAGATCAATTTGAAGCAAAAACTCTAGGCGATAACATCCTCTAGTCAAAAGTCTTGTGGACAAATATTTAGTATGTTATTTGTGGCCTTATATTAGAAACTTTATTTTTTAGTTTTTTCAATAACCATGCATAAACAATATTCTCTCAAAAATACAAACATGTACATACATGTTGCTCACATATTATGGTAGCCCTGTGTGTGCTATATAGAGTGTAATTTCACCTGTGCCATTAATATGTTTATAAGCAACTGAAAAAAGCACAAATGTCAGAGCATGCCAAAACATCTCAAGGACCCCGAAAACACCTCAGACCCCAGAGGGTTAAAGGCAGATGAAACAGAGCTGACGAACAGGAGAAACACTGTCAATCTGAATTGATACTGAATCCATTTACCATGGATTTACTGTAAGGTTAGCCTAGTAATATTAACTGCACCATGAAATGTGGGATATACATTGAATTGTATTATATTATTAATGTAGACAATGTATTAAATGACTAATGGAATATAATTACAGTATTTAATAATGTATTTAGGCTACTGTTTTTCATACAAATACCATAGAAACCATAGTTACATTTTGCCATGATAGTGAGGTGCTATAGGCTATGCCTGGCTTTATCTGTGGTTATCATGATCTAAATGCATGATACTGGATAAGCTATGGTTAAAACTCAAACAGTCAGAATATTACATTTTACCAAATAAAAATGTGGTTGTCAATTTTTTTTAACAGATGTTACTGTTTTTGTTAATGAACATAAATTTAACATAGTTGTATTAGCTTGAGTTAGGATGCAGATTTACTGTCAACTCACTGTCAAATATGCGTTTCGAGATAAAACATGTAATATTAATATTGCAGCCTGCACTGCAAACTGTGCTGAAGATATGTGCCATCAAAGTCAGGCAACACAAACCTGTTTCAAGACTTAATATCCCCATTAGCACATGCAGAAACTAAGAAATATATGTTTGGCACGTGTTTGTCATGATATGTTCTGACAATAAAGAGTAGTTTAAAACCACAATTAACGCACTGGTTTCTACAACTTTCACTTTGGAGCAAAAATCTGCCATTAAACTTGAAAGAAATAAAGATTTGACATTTATCGTGATAATTATCGATATCGACTGATATAAAAAAATTATCGTGATAATTTTTTTGGCCATATCGCCCAGCCCTACATTAGATACATAAGATTGCTTGATTAAATTGAAACCCAATACTTACATTTAAAAGTGTAATCTGGCAATTTGTCTCCGGCGCGCAATGCATTCTGGGGTAGGCAAGGCTGCGAAGGATCCTTCTGATGTATCCTGCATTCACAGGAAAAGGATGCATTTGCAGGCCACATTTTGAAGGAGCCTTCGAAGGACCTTCGAATTGGGACAGCCTTCGTTGCGCCGCGATGACGCAATCGGCTATACTTTCCCCTTTAAACGCGTCGGCCGTGCACTTCGAAGGACGCGGCCTTCTAAAAGGATGCCGCCCCTGAATTGGGACACAGTTTACCTGGTTTATTCAATCATTCTCTGAAAAGTCTTGTCTAGTGTTATGCTACAATTCTAAACATTCTATCTTTGGTTTCCCATATTTATGGTTTGAGTCTTGTGCCTGGTTTCTTGGATTTTCCCTGTTTGCCCTGTGTTTTCTGCCCTTTGATTGTTTGGATTGTTTGTCCTGTGGTTCTGACCCTTGACTGTATTTTGGATTATGATTCTGGATTACCCTCAAATAGAACTGCATTTTGTTCCTCTACCCATGTGTCAGAGCAGAACGTAACACAAACACACTAACTATTATCTTACCCAGAAAGCTGCAGCAAAACTCTAAATCCACAATGGTGTATGAGGCAGAAAAACAAGAAATGTTGACTGTTAAGGTCAAAGTAAATGAGAAGCGTTGCAAGAAAAATAATATACCACCACCAGAGATATTTCCTATCTGGATGGGAATAGATTTATAAGAGGATGCCTGAGCTAGCTGAAAAAAAATATTTGTCAAATATTTAGCAAGGTGGTCTGAGGAAAAACACAATTTCATTCTGCTGGATTACATAAATGAGTTGTTGATATGGCAGTGTTTGTGCTCAGCTTTTTCTCTAATAATTTGCATAACCAAAAATGAATGCTTGTATTTGTTACCTTTTTATCTTGAATGGCTTTGATTCTCTGATGGCTTGGGCCGAATATCTTTTAACCACTACACTCTAACTGCTAGTCTGCTACAAGCACGTGAAAAAAAAAAAAAGACACAGACAAATGGTGTAATAAAATCAGGCCCTGCCAACAACTTTTTCTTTCACTCAGAAATGTCACAATATTGAAGTAATGTCGGTCACAACTTCAGTTTCACAAAAACTTCAATGTTGCTTAAAATTAATGCCATCATGTTCTGTTATTCTAAAAGCATTTGAAAGCATTTGTTTGGCTGGAAAGTTTTTTTTTTTGACAATACATTTCATTGCCTCAGCTGTGACAGCTTGCTCACCAGCAGTCACCCAAATAGTGGAGGTCAGGGCATTGGAGGTCAAAGTTCACCCAAACGCTTTTCACAGTTGAAGATATTACAGGATGCTTGTGAGGAGTCATAGAGACGGAAGCACATACGTACACAAACGTTTATTTCCCATGGCTGATTTTAAGATTTTTTACAACCCTTTGGTCCTTTTCACAATGTAAGTGAATATTTTCAGAGAATACATGGCATGAACAACTTTATATCTGATCAGCAAATTCCTACGGGCCTAGTTGCACTGGGATGAAATTGTTTGATGTCAAAGCGGAAAAACCCCCCGCCTACCAATAACATAAACTATTGGAGCTGACAGCTGTTGATAGAGTTGGTCTCTAAACAGTCATAATGATTACAAAAAAGGAGCAACAACTGATAGATAAAGCAATTGTTGACAATGTTCACCTCATATTTACTGTATATTGTACCCAACTAGCACAGGTTTTATTTTAAGTTGAATTTCAGTCAGGGTCAATGAAAGGGGTCCCTGTATCCGTGTTCATTCGTTTTTCGATTTAAAATTGAAAGTAGAAAATGAGAACTGCTCATTTATTAGTTTTTCGGGTTTTTTTTCCAAAAATAAATTAAAAGTTTAATTTTTAATCGTTGGGCTCCCTCGGATTGCCCACTCCACCTGGGTCAGACATCGCCACACATTCACTGCGGACTTGCGGGCTGTCTGCTGCTCTCTGATAATGGAACAGTTACTCTGTTATGTGTGTCTTTAGTTTCATTTTCATGGACTTCTAGTTTGAATTTCATTAGTTTCCCGTTTCCTTTGTTCTAGTTTCCCACCACTATCTGTTGGCATGGTGATTAATTTAACGAGCACAGCTGTCTGCATTCAGGTCATTATCATTGTGTATTAAAGTCCCCCTGTGGGTTGCACGGTGGCTCAGTGGGTAGAACTGTTGCCTCACAGCAAGAAGGTCCCCGGTTTGAGCCCAGACTGAGCCAGGAGGCATTTCTGTGTGGAGTTTGCATGTTCTTTCCGTGTCAGCGTTTGTTTCCTCCGGGTGCTCCGGTTTTCCCCAAAGACATGCAGGTTAGGTGGATTGGATATGCCAAATTGTCATAGAGTATGTGAGTGTGAATGTGTCCCAGTGCTGGGTTGTGACAGGAAGGGCATCCGACGTAAAATCTGTGACAAATCGTGTGTGTGAAGCGGACCCTGCAAATGAGCGGGAATAACGCTAAAATAGAGAGTGAGATTTAAAGTCCCCCTGTGGTGAAAATCAAGTTTTTAATGTTGATTATATGTCTATGTGGTGTGTTTAATATTTAAGATAAATCATGTGCAAATTCATGTCAACACCATTGCCGAGTATTTTCTCTTTAAAACTGCAGTGAACCAAAGACAGTCTCAAAAACGCGGTTTGAAATAGCTGAGATGTTTCTGACGTCACAAACTACTTTATAACCAATCACGTCGATGTGTGATCGTCAACGTGTGGATCTCTGAGCTGGTGTGAGAGAGTGGAGATGGGGCTAATTTGCATATTCATAGAACCGCATATACTAAATGAGGCAAAGGTGTAGAATTATATTCAAGCTATTTTAAGGCATTAATAAAAAAATGTAATGATTTTTTTTTTTTATATGTCATTTTGGTGATCAAAGATGAGTTTTAAGGGATACAATTATTGACAACAGGGGGACTTTAAGTACCTCAGTTTGTTTCCTCCTTTGTCCGGTATTGTTTGTGTCTACGTGCTGTTTAGTTTGCCATTACCTTTGAATCTACCTGTGTTTGCTTTATATTAAAGACTTTTGCTTCTTGATCCTTCTTCGTCTTCATTGGAACTAAACCGTGACAATTACATTACGTCAGGGGTTTCCAAACTAGGTTTTGGGAAGGAACTGCAGGTTACTAAATTGATGAAAAGCTAATAATTAAATAAATCTTAATTTTTTTTTAAACTAACATAATTTTAAAAATAAAATTTTCAAAATGAAACACCAATGGAGACAAAAAGTATTTAATTTGTTTATGCTGCATGGCCTGTGTGCAATTCCACAAAACTGGATTTTTTTAAACATAAATGAGAAATCTTAGAAAATAAATAATTTGTACACATTTGTAATGTGTCGGTTTGTGCACTCTACAGATAATCGACGAGGAAGACACACAGTTTATGACAAACTGCCCTCCAGCAGTGACAGAAAGCTCCCCTCGCAGGAGGACCAGGATACAGGTGTTCTGGACAGCGCCACCATCAGGCAGTGGCTGTGTACTGCTAAAGTAAGTGAGACAACTATCCTCACCTCATAACCATGTGTTAAATTAAGGGGAACCCTGGGATTCTAAGGTGATCATGGTAATAGGACAAACTACTTCTCTCAAAACAATTTCCAAATTGTTGGTCACTTGGTACTCTAGATGTAATAAGATATGTATAAAGTACTAGTAACACAGATAGAGCTGAAATAGGTTATCTCAGTCTGACATCATTATGATGAATTTTGCACTAGTCAGTAAGGAAGATTATACAGACACTTAATATGTATTGATCTGTAAGAAAACATACTCCAAATAGGACAAAGAGTTGCTGACAAAGAGCTTTACATCCCTTGAAACTGCTACAGCAGCGGGGAAGATGCATTGGCATTAATTTGCGTTATTTATTCATTTGCGTGCATGCTTTTGTCTCATTTACAGACTGTTTCATGCAGTTTTGCTTGCAGACTGTTTCAAAGTAAAATCTTAGCAACACTGTAAAATCTAATTAGTAAACCTTACTTAAAAAAACCTTACTTTACTTCAAAATCAATCCAGTTGACTTGTTAAAACCATGCAAACCGATTGCCTTAAAAAGAACAAGTGAGCGTTACTCCAATAACTTAAGTGCTATCAATCATCTATTATAAATCATTGAGAATAGGTTCACAATTTTCCAAAGATAACATTTACAACTGGACAAATACATTTAAGGCAATGATACAGTTCAAAGGTACATTTATTGTATTTGTTTCTTTTTCTAACTTCGCTCGGTGTTTCACTATGGGAATCGCTTTGGGCGTGACCAACTACGGAAGCTCCTATGCCACCACGTCTGTCTTTTGACAGACAGGTCGACCTGAGATCAGGCTCCGCCCCCACCTATATTACTCAGGTTGACCCCTACGAAGTCATTCTCGCTTTCTTCCCGTTCTTCCGGCCAGGCGGTCGTAGATCTCTTCGCCTCGCAGGAAAACGCTCAATGTCCTCTTTATTTCTCTGTGGCGGACGGAAATGCACCATTGGGTGTGGATGCTTTAGCCCACCCATGGCCAAATGTCCCGCTGTATGCATTTCCCCCTCTGAGTCTGATTTCACCCACTCTGGCCAGGGTGAGGGAAATGGGATTGTCACTGATACTGATAGCTCCACGGTGGCCATCCAGACATTGGGTGGCCGAGATAGTTCAACTACTGTCGGGTCAGCCATGGCCCCTCCCTCCCCGGAGGGACCTCCTGTCACAAGCGGGGGGGGGGGGGGGGGGGGAATCTATCATCCTCACCCAGACAGGATAGCTCTCTGGGCCTGGCCCGTGAGAGGTGGAATTTAAGTGCAGCAGGTCTGCCCCCATCAGTCGTACACACTATTCAAAGTGCAAGAGCCTCTTCCACTCGCTCACTGTATAGTAATAAATGGCGAGTCTTTGAAGGATGGTGTGGAAGGAGTCATATTGTCCCTTTTCAATGTTCAGTGAGGGACATATTATGTTTCCTCCAGGATCTGTTAGAAAAGGGGAAAGCTTTTTCTACGATAAAGGTGTACTTAGCGGCTATATCTGCTTGTCATGTGGGTTTTGGTGACAAGACAGCAGGTCAGCACCCTTTAATAAGTCGCTTTATGAAGGGGGCACGACGTAAGAGGCCAGTGGCCAGGCGGATGGTCCCATTGTGGGATTTGTCTACGGTTTTAGAGGCCCTTTCTCAACACCCTTTTGAGCCGTTGGAAGCTATAGGGTTTAAGTTTCTCGATCTTAAGACAGCACTACTGTTAGCGCTGGTCTCAGCTAAGAGGGTGAGTGACTTACAGGCTCTGTCGGTCAGCCCGTCTTGTCTGCAGTTTTCTCCAGGGTTTACAAGGGTTTCCTTTCGCCCTAACCCTGCTTTCGTACCTAAAGTAGTGGATTCATCGTATAGATGTCAAACTACAGATCTTGCAGCTTTTCACCCTCCTCCGTTCTCTTCTCCGGAGGATAGGAGGTTGAATGCCTTGTGTCCTGTACGGGCGCTTCGTGTGTACGTAGAAAGGACAGCAGGTTTCAGGAAAAATGACCAGCTGTTTGTGTCATGGGCTACTCCTCACAAAGGGAAGCCATTGTCACGTCAGCGACTGTCCCATTGGATTGTAGTGGCTATTTCTTTAGCATATGAATGCAGAGGTTCCCAACCTCCCGAGGGCTTAAGGGCCCACTCCACTAGGGGCATGGCTACATCATGGGCCTTACTTAGGGGCGTTTCGGTCCAGGAGATCTGTGCTGCAGCAAGCTGGGCCACGCCGCACACTTTTGTGCGATTTTATAGACTGAATGTGTCTGAGCCATCCTTAGCTAATGCAGTGTTAGGAGCCAGCACGTCAGGTCCCATATGATGACGTATAGCGTACGTTGCAATCCGGGAGTGGTCTATATCTCCCATAGTGAAACATCGAGCGAAGTTAGAAAAAGAACGATGGGTTACTTAACGTAATCCCGGGTTCTTTGATAACAGAGTGAGGTGTTTCACCAACACTTCCCTCCTTGCACAGGAACGGGAAGAAATCTCTCTATAATGACTTCGTAGGGGTGGACCTGAGTAATATAGGTGGGGGCGGAGCCTGATCTCAGGTCGACCTGTCTGTCAAAGACAGACGTGGTGGCATAGGAGCTTCCGTAGTTGGTCACGACCAAAGCGATTCCCATAGTGAAACACCTCACTCTGTTATCAAAGAACCCGGGATTACGTTAAGTAACCCATCGTTTCTTAACAACTGACACAGGGGTGGTCCACACAAGTTTGCATTAGGGTATAAAATTAATGCAAATAGTCACTTTAGGTTTTAAAATTTTTTTTAAAGGCACACTGTGGAACTTTTCAACCTTTATAATATATTACCAAAACCCATTGAGATGGTACATCGACTTACAATAGGTTGAATGACACGTCTACCGAAGCCTGAAGGTGTCTGTATCGCTTTTACTAGCACTATGTAACTTCGGGTTTCGGGTAGGAACCCGAGCACAAAAAGAACTACAAAATTTGACCGCTTTACGGCATACGTCACTTCCCCCACCACCCCAACTTCCTCAAATTCTAACGTGAGAGCTCAACTCGCGTTTGATTGCCGGCGTCTGTATGTTGTCGTCATGGCTGAATCAACAGCTACTCGGAAGAAAGCGAAGAAAGCAAAGATTTTGTCAGAGGAGACCAAAAAAAGAAAAAGGGAGAGTTTAAAATAAACATCGGCATAAAAGTGTATATATAATGTAATATTTACTGCGAATTCGTGTAACAAAACTGATACAAGTCACAACATACTGCCGTATACAAATGTAAATGTTTTTTTTTCCTTTCAGCTCATATATGTTTGTATTTGTGTAAAAGGAAAAACAAACTGAAGACTACAAATAACGGAAATATGTAGTGAGTTATATCAGTTTTGTTACACGATTTCCCGACTACTCGATTTCATCTCCAACCCATTGCAGAGATCCTGAAGACGTTAATTGTTTGCTTCAGGTGTACGATCGGCAGGAGCAGGATTGGGCAACCCTTGTCAATGCGACTTACCTAATCAGACATTGTTTTCTGCGTATGCTACTTTTATTCAATTTGTTTTCTTTATAGGATTTATATTATTAATCTTATATTTATATTATTATTTTGGTCAGTAGTGAATCGATTAACTTTCTCCAACATAAAAATCAAATGCCGTCTGCACACACATAAAGACACGGGAGGTTGACCGGTTGACTGTTTGTTGACTTTTGCGACAATGCTGCGGCGCTTGTGGCCTCTAGGGGCACTAGACGTGAAAATTACAGGTCGAGCGCACCCTAGTGGCCAAAAATTCCACAGTGTGCCTTTAAAACAAAAACCGGTAACACTTAACATAACACTTTAAAAGGTTCATTAGTTAACATTAGTTAATGTATTAACTAACATGAACTAACAATGAGCAATACATTTGTTACTGTATTAATTCATCTTTGTTAATGTTAGTTAAAGCTGCAGTCCGTAGCTTTTTTTGGGTTAAAAATTATCCAAAATACATATTTGAGAAATAATGTTTTTAATTCCAGTGGTACTGGTGGATTTCCGCGGGAGATTCGAGCATGTCTTTGCGTCATTACGTCACATCTGTACACATAAAGGTGTTTCGGCTAGTAGGCTATGAGTGTGAGGATGTTGGAGGTTTATAGGCTTTTCTCACAGCACTTGATATAATTAAACTTATCAATTTAATGTTGGTTAGTGAAAGGTTCAAACGACAATCACAAGTGACAACTGAAGATTCACCATTGTAAAATGCAAAAGACTTCGTTCGGACTTCGGAGTAGCTACAGAAAAAAAGAGACTGCAGGGCGATATGGCCAAAAAAAAAAATCACGATAATTTTTTTATATCAGTCGATATCGATAATTATCACGATAAATGTCAAATCTTTATTTCTTTCAAGTTTAAAGGCAGATTTTTGCTCCTAAGTGAAAGTTGTATAAACCAGAGCGTTAATTGTGGTTTTAAACCTTTCACTATGGGGCGGCAGTGGCTCAGTGGTTCATGTGGGTTGTCTACAAACCGAAAGGTTCAATCCGGTTCAATCCCCGGTTCCACCTGACCAAGTGTCGAGGTGTCCATGAGCAAGACACCTAACCCCAGCTGCTCCCGACGAGCTGGATGGCGCCTTGCAAGGCTGCCGTCGCCCGTCGGTGTATGAATGAGTGAGTGAATGGGTGAATGTGAGGCAAATGTAAAGTGCTTTGGTGGCCATTGGGTCTGTGAAAGCGCTATATAAATGCAGTCCATTTACCATAAATGCAGTCCATTTAAACTACTCTTTATTGTCAGAACATATCATGACAAACACTTGCCAAACATATATTTCTTAGTTTCTGCATGTGCTAATGGGGGATATTGTTTCAAGTCTTGAAACAGGTTTGTGTTGCCTGACATTGATGGCACGTATCTTCAGCACAGTTTGCAGTGCAGGCTGCAATATTAATATTACATGTTTTGTCTCGAAACACATATTTGACAGTGAGTTGACAGTAA